ATACCTAGGAAAGGCGAAAGATTCTGGTCAGTAGTAGCAAACTTGCAAGAGTATGGTAAGACTACAGACATTTCTTTCGTGGTGCCCCTTTCACTACTCAAATTGCACTGAGATTTAGGTAACACCAGGTTTGTGAGGCAGAACTTTTGGCTTGGCAAGGCATCTAGGTTCATAAGGGACTCTTATTACTTTGGCTACTTTGTGGACTCTTTGGAAGGAAATGAATATGAAGACTTTCGAGGATGCTGTCCTTCCTATTTGGTAGAGTTTCTGGTTCCAGACCACCTATTTTCTCATTCAAGGGGCGTCCTCTTTATTTTCTGATGATGACAGACATCATAGATATTTTGACTTGTCTTTCTTGTTTTTGGGTGACACCCATTTGGTGCCTTGTTAATATATTTTGCTTCTGTTAAAATCAAGATGCTGCCAGGTTCAACTAATGCGCTCTTTTCAGCAAGTGCAATAGATAGGAGGAGAAGTCGTGCTAAATCTTTGAGGTCATAGCCTGACTACTCTTTGTTTGTTTTACTGCATGTGGAAGGACAGAATAATAGAGCTCCTTCCTTAAAAGACCAGAATAACAGAGCTTTTAATAGAGACAAGATGAGAATGATTGACTCTTGCAGACTTTTTCTAACAGACCCTTACTCATGGATGGACATTTCTCGCAAACTTTCATTTTCTTTTTTTTCATTTTTCCTTAAAGAATTCTTTTGTTGCGAACATTGATTTCCCTTTTTAGCTTCTCAATAAATTTACTAGGAAAAAAGAAAAGAAATTGGAGCAGAAAAGAAAAAAAGGTGCCAAGAGCTGCTTGTTATATCCGCTAAATCTAAGATCAAGTGATGGATATAACTCATACCTCCAGAAGACCTGTTTACACATGGCTTCCATTCCCCGCTTTTATATGAGTGTTTCCATATAGTTGATATCTACAATAAATTCAACAGTCTAGATCAGCACAAAGAAAAAGAACAATCAAAAACTTCGCTATATATTCTGCAATACAATCTCCATGAGCACTACTTTCTAAGAATTAATGGTTTCTGCTGAGAATCTTTCTTTTTCCCCAATCAAAGCCCACAAAAGAGCAAAAAATCCAGGGCAGAACTGAATGACAAGCCTTATTTTGTGTCCCATATGACTCCAACTCCCAAGTCCCTATTTTTGTGAGGGGCTGGTATGCTGCACCCAAACCAAAGACCAATATTTGTTGAGAATTTACTAGTCTGACGAATAATCACATCATTAATATTAAGCCTAGAGAAAGCAAAGCTAAACACATAAAGACTGCATGTTTCATACTTTTCCAAGAAAACATCAACATCTAACATAATATCAGCTTCATTGCCATAACTCTAATTAAATCTCTAATAGATGTCAACTCACTTCGTCCAACATCCTAAAATATTATCACAGTTGATGGCATTAGATTGATTGGACTGAGTCAACACCATAAACAAATCAAAATCCGAAAAATAATAGCGAGACTGGCAGGACAGATCCATCCTATTTCTCAATCCTTTATCCAAACTAGTTGATTTGATAAATCTCTTCAGTTCACAAAGGCATTTTACTATAGTTGAAATGTAATGAGAAAACAAGTCCTAATTAGGGTATTTCCACTAATTCTTAAATGAGGGTCAATGCGAGGAGCAGACCACAGATACTCTTCCCTTCCTCATAAATTTCATCCTCTTCCCTCAAGCGTAATTCAAATGGAAGGTCAAAATACCTCAAACAAATGCACATGAAAGGCAAATATCCTAGTGCTAGAGCTACCTCAAAATGTAGTAAAGCAAAAAGAGGATATCCAGTTTAAACACATAAGGAACGAGATTCATCAAACTTATAATTTAGCTAAATATGACACAGGAGCGATGGACTTCATCTCCAGTCCTTCACATTCCAAGTACGAGACCATCATCAACTACGGATACGTTGAGCCCGCAAGATCCCAGCCACCAAATCCAACAGAGAGATTTAGAAAAATCCACCAGACCAAATCCAAGACCTAATGATTTATTAAAATCCAACTGAAATAAATAACAAAATACTCATGCCCACGTACCAAAATCAGAACAATGCATCACAAACTGAAATCCACTTAAATAACGAGAGAAAGAACTCAAAATAAATCATAACCCATATCCCAAAATAGCCATTTGATGAACAAAAAAATCCCACCAAAAAGGAACTAGAAAGGGGAAAAAAACTCACAGCATCAGATGAATTATCCGCATCCATCTCGGGCCGTAGCTTTGCGTACACCTGGGGACTCCTGTAAACGGAGCCGGGAGCGGGTCGGTGCTTGATAACGGGAACCACATCAAAAGACACAGTGCCCATGTAGAGAAGCATACCCGAGATGTAGATTAGGGGAGCGAAGAGAAAGAAACCCTGACGACGAAGGAGCACAGAGAGGAGCAGCCAAGCAAGACGATGGGCAATGGTCCGGCCCGGCTGGACCGGGGGGAACCGACCCCCTTTGGACCGGCCGTGGCGGTAGCGAGGGGAACGGAGCGGCGAGGGTGGTGGCGACGGGGTGGTGTGGCCGCTGCTTGGCAGCCGGTTCTTCGCGTGCATTGGTTAATAGATCTTCTTAGAGGATTTTCTCTTACTGTTGGTGCTGAACTCACATGGGAATCTCCTTTAGTTTGTTTTGTCTCTGTTAAGTCTCTGGTCGCACAGAGGGGGAGAGAGAGAGAGAGGTGGAGGAGAGGGTGCACGTGGTGCTGAGAATTGGAGTGGGGAAAGCTCCTTTTTTTTCTTTTGTGTGTTAATGGATTGGCTAAAGAAGAAGGTAAGCGACTCTGAGAGAAGATATTTGGATTTTTGGGATGTTTAGTTTGTGTTTCACGCACGACATGCACTTTGCTAGTTGGCGTTTCGTTTGTGATGGCAAATGCATAATGACGCAAAATCGTTATTATTTACAAATTTCAGTTTAGGCAAACCTTTTTTTTTCCTCAGTTAATTTTGTCAGGACTAGGGTTCATGCGATCAAATTCATTGACTAACCCACATTGTCAACAAATCTTGACTAAGCCCCATTGTCAACAAATCTTATAAACTTTTCCCTAATTTTTGAACTTTTCTTTCTCAAATTTATGGACCATTTATTAATATAAAAGTTCAATTATATTTATTTTTATATTTAATTTATATAGTTTAATAGAATGTTAAGTTTTTCATTAAATGCATTGGTATAAAATTTGTATAAATTTTTTTTTTTTTTAAACAACCAACTTTAGTGAAATTTAGTCAAGCAATACATCAATTTCTGAAGGCATTTGCTTTTAGATATGAAAACAAGGCTTAAAACGAGCATATCGCGCCAGTTGGTGTGCCACTCTATTTCTTTGTCTCCATACCCATGCAATGACAACAACGGATCTAAATGGCCAACAGCATTCAACAATCCTCAATGATGGAGCCATACTCGGATTGATCTGGCACAGTTTATAGCAAAGTCGTCTTCACCTATTGTGCATCAACATCTACAATTTATAGGCCTTGGACGTGTGAGATAACATATTGTAAGACACTGCAACAATCAAGTAATTCTGCAAGAAATTGTGATCTGCGACCTAGAAACCGGACTGTGATGGCTACCAAAACCTCCCCTGTTGATGCCCGTATGACGGCCCCATATCCTGACCCAGTGTTTGTGCCATATACAACTTCGTCAACATTACACTTCTAATACCTTGGAGCCAGTGGTTGCTACCTGACGTGCTCTACATTCTAAACTTGTATATGTGTGTTATTCCTCTCCCGCAATACTTGGGCAGGTTTCTATTCAGTGAGGTAGTGTCTAGTAAGAATATAAAATGTTCGATCAGCATACGTTTTGTCCATCCATACAAATTCATTGTGCTACACAACCCACATAACAGATATCCAGCCTCTGCATCAATGCCACTATTGAGAACTCGTTTTAGCCACTGTATTATACCCTTCTGACTATTAATTCCCATACCCGCCCAGAACCTTCTTTCCTTATCGCTTTCAATAAACACATGTTGACAAGTTTTGTCTATATCACACCTTGTGTCCACGCCTTCAACAACAAGCCCCCTCTCTTTCAACCTAGCTTTTGTAGGCAAAGTATTTGACATCAATCTCCACACCAAAGTCCTAACTTTGGGCGGAACATCCACCTTCCAAACCAGTTTCCATAAGTTTGTTTTATTCTCCCTGTGCCCAGCCGAGCTTCCCATAGATACTGGTACGCAGATTTCACTGTATACCTGTCATCCTTGGAATATGCCGTATGTATTTATCATCTCGTTGACACAAGATGAAGATAATTTGGAGGATAAATGGCACTTCCTCCTCCACAAGCAATCCAATGATAAGCTCCAAATTCCAGCTCTGGTTGTCCTCATTCATGAGATCATTTACTGTTATCTCCTCCAGTCCATCTAGGAACGGGCTTCGAATAAAGGAGTCTTGATCCCTCGGTAGCTAGGATCACCATCTGGGAAGTACTTTGCCCTGAGCACTTTAGCTAACATTGTATGGGGGTTTTATATGAGTCGCCACACCTCTTTCCCAAGCATGGTGATATTAAAAACTTTCATATCCCAGAACCCCAACCCACCATCTGCTTTGTTTCGACACTGATTCTCATGAAAGCTAATTCTTGCTTCTACCATTTTTGTTTCTTCCCCACCAAAAATTGTTCATCATTCATTGGAGCTCATCGCACAAGCCAAACAGTATTTAGAAAACCTCCATGCACAATGTAGGAATCGATTGGGCGACTGCTTTAATTAGAATTTCTTTACTTGCTCTTGATAATTAGCGGTTGTTCCACCTAGTCAGTCTTGTTCTAAGTTTATTTCTCAAAAACTCGAAGATTTTCCTTTTACTACTGTCGACTAATGACGGGAGGCCCAAATAGCGACCATGATCAATATTATTATACACTCCCATCACACTGTTCAAATAACTTCGAAGTGAAGCAGAGGAGTTATTACTGTAAAATATTCCTGATTTTTGGAAATTGACGACCTGCCCCGATGCCAATTCAAACTGATACAATATGTTTTTGATTTTTGAGGCACTCGTGGATATTGGCACGAAAGAAGAAGGAATCATCTGCAAATAAAAGATGTGATATATTCGGGCTACGAGGGCATACCTGCACTCCATGAATATCCCATGCCTCTTTCGCTCTCCGGAATAAGGCGGATAAGCCTTCCGCACAAATGATAAATAGATACGGTGACAGGGGATCTCCTTGCCTCAATCCTTGGTGGGGGTAATCGGTCCAAGTTCTGTTCCATTCCACCTGACCCTGTAAGAAACCGTCGTAACACACTGTATCAGTACAGTAACCCATCTTTGGTCAAACCCAAAGGCTAATAGCATCTCTTCTAGATATTCCCGGTGCACCTGGTCGTATGCCTCACTGATGTCAATCTTCATGGCCATCTCAGTTTTCTCTGTTGACCACACGATTTCAATTTATGAATGATTTCAAAAGCTATCAAAATGTTATCCATCGTGCTTTTGTCTGGCACAAATGCTAATTATAAATCAGAAATGATATCCAACAAAGTCTTTTTTAGTCTATTTGCAAGGACTTTTGAGTAAATCTTGTAAGTAACATTGCAAAATGATATTGGCCGCAGATCCTTCATGGTGTCCGGGAGTTCCTTATTGGGGATCAAAACCACGACAGTATCATTGAGTTGAGCAGGTAGGACAGAACGTTCAAACCAATATTGGCAATTAGCCACAATATTTATTCCCAAAGTGTGCCAAAATCGTTGAAAAATACAAGATTCATGCCATCAGGCCTCGGATTTTATCTGGGTGCATTTGGAATATAACAGCTCTAATTTCTTCAATATTAAGAGGTTGGAGAAGCATTTCATTCATCAGTACTGTGACCCTTTTCTGGATAATACCAACCACCAGTGACCAGTCTCCATCTGAGACAAAAAAATAGTGACTTGAAGTAATCAATAACATGGCTTTGTAGCTCCATGTCATCCCTAATCCATGCACCATTTGTTCTTTGGAGGGCTGAAATATAATTACTGTGTTTCCGCTTTTTTTCCTTTTGTTTCTAGTATATGTCTTCTTGTTCTAACACTTGAATATACTCATCATTTAATTTTTCATTCACTCAGGATCACTGTGTCGGCTAACCCTTCTTTTTCTGAGTAATTGCATGTATAAGTCCCTTTTTTTGCTTTGTAAATTACTTACTTGAGCCCTTCCCGATTCTTGTAGATAGTGTCCACAATTAAAGATCTTCTGTGTGATTTCCCCTGTCTCCCATTGCCTCTATCCGTGAGACACCACTCCCTTAAGCTCCTCATTCACTAACCATGCATTTTCAAACCTAAACTTATGGATATGGGGTGGTCTGCTTTGCTACTCACAAGTTAGTAACAATGGGGAGTGATCAAATATTGGTGCATATAGGTTGTCTAATTAGGTTTTCAGGAATAACTTGGTCCAACTCTAATTTGTGACACATTGATCCAGCTTTTCCCTAATGAGGCTACCCGCAGTCCCTCTTCGCCAGGCGAACCCATGACCCGATAACAGAATATCTCTTAGATTATAACTATTTAGTACCCCCCCACCTCCTTGTCCATAGGGGAGGCTATGTCGTTAAAGTCCCCTAATACTGTCTAAAGACCATTCGATCTATGTGCCAAGGTTCTCACGAATTATCACAACTCCCTTCGTCGATTCCTTTATGGCATACCATAAAAACCTATGAGTCTTCATTCACCATGTTGTTCATTTTGATATGTATGTCCACATGATGAAGTGAAAAATATACAATTTTTATCTTACAGTTTGTTTTCCATAGCATAGCCAATCCTCTACCTCTATCTATTCTATCCACACCAAATACATTGTCAAACCCCAATCTAGATCCAATTCTTTTAAGTGTATGTTTAACTACCAA